AAACATTCACTATTATGGGAACATTTAAGGCTATCAGACAATTTAAGACTAAGCAACTATCAGACACAGATACGTATGCAAGGATTGGTTTAAAGATGATGTCACCACCCTTCATCTCATCAGAACTATTAAAGTAAAGGTGATAAAGGAGTAAGTCCTACCACCTAGAGATAGCCATGGTCACTATAGAAAACTGCTGATATATATATACACACACACATAAGCACACACACGGGTACATGTTCTTACAAATTTGTATCATTATCTATATACAACATTTAGTGTCAACTCTTCCAACATGGCACATTCATCCAAAACATGAAACTTGACAGTCTCAGAATAACCTATGGATGTATTATATAATTGGTTTAAATCACTCTCTTCCTGGTCGAGAATTGGGTTGTTTCCATTTTGCACTTTTGGTATTAGAAACAACGTTAGGATAAAGACAAAGCTGGGACCACTTTTTCATTATTTGGTAAAAAGCCTGATATAAAGCTAAACTGCCCTTCAGAGAGATGGTACTTCTCTATCAAGGGTATGAGTGAGGGTTTGAAATCCTCACTCCTGAGCCTGTACTACACACATGTGCACACACACACACACACACACATACACAAACACACACACAAAGCCACACTTGCATATAAGAGAACCTACTATAATACTATAATCCAGAGGGTTTTCTAACAGTGAAATAAACCTCTTCAAAATTTTTTCCCCAAGTGTGTGTATTTATAATCTCCAAACAATGGGATTTACATAAATCCAGTAGCTTTAGAAATAGCTTTTTGGTCTCTCCTTTCTGTAAAACATATTACCTTGGGGCCTGGGATTTAGCTCAGTGGTTCTGCCACCTGCCTCACAAGCGCAAGGACCCGAGTTCGATCCCCAGTACCAAAACAAACAAACAAACAAACAAACAGAAAAAACATATTACCTTTTTAGCCTGTAAGTAATTTTACAGTTCATTATGCAGTGTAACTAAATTCTAAAATTCCAAGTGCACTATACTAGGGTATTTAGAAAGATGTGCATTTTTCTTTAAATGCAAGCCTTTTAAAAAATACCACACACACTCTTTGTGAAATATGTGTGTAGCATTGTTTATGAGTCCTATCATTCAGTTCCATTCATTTTCCTAAATATCTTATTATGGAGATTACATAATTTTTGTTTGTGTTTCTATGTGTGAAATCAGAAAATAGCATGTAACACTAAAATTGAACTGGACTAGCAGTCAGGGAATATTTTTTTTCTATTCAATTCAGTGCATGTATCATAATAAGATTGCCAACAAAATTTAATAAATATTACTCATCCACAAAATTTCTCAGGACTGTCATAAAATATTCTCCTAGGGTTTCAAGTCCTAGAATGGAAGAATTATAACACAAACATTAAAATTAATATTTTAAAGAATAAATAATTTATCTTTTGCTTGTCTTGTTTATGCTTTAATTTTTTATTAGTGCATGTTTGCCATACACAATGATCACCTTCATCATGGGAAATTTGTACCTGCACATAATATATCTTTTTTTTTTTTTGGTACCGGGGATTGAACTCCAGTCCTTGCACTTTTGAGGCAGGCGGCGGAACCACTGAGCTAAATCCCCGGCCCCACATAGTATATCTTAATTCTTCTTTTTTCCCATTCCCCTCCCCTCCCTTCAACTCTTTTTCCACATTTACAAAAGTTTTGTTTCCATTTTTTTCTTCCATTCTCTTTTATTTAATCCCTTTTCCTTTCCTTCTATCCTTCCTTTCCCTTCCCTTGTTCCCTTTCCCATTTGAACAAGTTCTTTCTGCTTCCCAATATTGACCTTCCATTTTGTTCCTTATTTACCCTTTGGGTTTCTCACACAAAAGAAACAATGTGTTATTTAAACTTGTGTGTCTGACTTATTACACTTAAAATTATGATCTCAAGATGCATTCATTTACTTTAAAATGTCTCAAGTTTATCCTTTATGCCAGAGCAGTATTCCATTCTATATAAATACCACTTTTCTTTATCCATTTGTCTGCTAATGGATATATGGACTGTTTCCAAGATTTAGCTATCATAAATTGTACTATTATAAACATGGGTATGCATATATCACTATGGTATGATGCTTTTAACTCTTTCGAGATGATACCTAGAAGGATAATATCTGGGTCAAATGGAACCACTAGTTTAGTTTTTTGAGGAATCTCCATACTGATTTCCATAGTAGTTATATCATTTTACACTCCCATGAATAGCAGAGTAGGGTTTCTTTTTCCCCACAGCCTCACCAGCCTTTGTTATTGGTTGATTTCTTTATGATAGAAATTCTGGAGACAGAATTTCAGTGTTGTTTTAATTTGCATTTCTCGAATGACCAGATGTTGAACATCTTTTTATACATTTATTTGTCATTTGTACTTCTTCATATGAGAAGGGTCTATTTATTTTCAGATGCCCATTTTTGGATTGGGTTTTTAAATTTGGGGGATTTAAATTTTTTTGAGTTCTTTATATATTCTAAATAATAGCCCTTTGTCTGAGAAGTAGCTGGCAATTTTTTTTTCCTATTCTGTGAATTGTCTCTTCACTCTTTTGGTGGTATCTTTTGCTGTGCAAAAGCTTTTTAGTAAGATCAGATCCCAGTTGTTGATTCTTTGTGATATTTCCTCTGTGATTAGGGTTTATTCATAAGGTCTTTGCCTACATCGATGTCTTCACAAGTTCTACCTATTCTATCTTACAGCAAATTGTTTCTGTTTTATTATTTAGATCTTTGACTCATTTTCCTTTTTTCTTGAGTGCATAGTAAGAGATATGTGACTAGGTTTAATCTTCAGAATGTGGCAAGCCAGTTTTCCCAGCACTTTTTATTAAAGAGGCTATCTTTTGTCTAGTGAAGGTGTTTGGCTCTTTCATCAAAGGGTGGCTGAGTGTACTTGTTGTTTCTGCATCTTCTA